GATGGCACCAGTCCCTGAGCCACCTGTTAACCAGGTGAGTTTTCCTGCCCCTTTCAGTGCTGTTCCCTGCCACTGATGGGATGGAGGAAAACACCACCTGCGCCCCTGATCCCTCAACCAGTCGCCCCAGTGCCCTGAAGTCCCTTTTGATAGCCGTGGGACTTCTCTCTGTGATCTCATCCCCACCAACCTGCATTACCAAGAGGGGGTAATAATCAGAAGGCCGCACCAGACCAGGGAGTTTCTTAGCAACATCCCTAATCTGTGCTCCAGGGAGGCAGCAGACTTCCCTGTGGGATGGGTCCGGTCAGCAGATCGGGCCCTCTGTTCCCCTCAGAAGGGAATCGCCTATGACAATTACCCTCCTTTTCTTCTTAGCTGAGGCAGTCGTAATACCTGCGGGGCTGACTGACTCTTCCTAGGCAGCTGAAAATTCAGTGAATAGACACAGTTTATCAAACATGATGTGATCTTTGCAAGGAGGTAAAACCACACCTTCTCCATCCACCTTGCACTAAAGAACTATGACATACACATTTAATTATGCATCTTTATCCAGAACTATGATTACAGTCACACTGTCCATTGGACATACCAGACAACGCTCTGACACAGATTTTATAGAGGGCATGGAGGGCCAATCATGCTGGTCCCAGTCTAAAGATAACTGCAACTGAAGCTCTGACATGGAAAAGTCCAGGTGCTGGTAGGGCAAGTTGGCCGCAAAAAGGCAAGCATACCATGTAACGTGAAAGTGGTAAGCACATATGAAGTAATAAAAGCAAGCATGCAAAACAGAAAAGGAAAAGAGTGAAGACATAATACAATGCAGAACTCCCAAGCATTCAACTTAAATTCCTAAGCAATGGAGCTGAAAGAAAAAAAGAAAAGATGGTGTTCAGTCACTAGACTGGTGTAAACTCTGCGCTCCACTGGGCACAAATATTTGCAAGTTAAAAGCCACTAAGTCTCAATTCCACAGATTTTTGCTGGCTGCCCCAAAGCTTCAATTTGTCTAAAACTCAAAACACTGCACTGTGAAACCTCTGCCTCTTGGCCAGCCTGATCCCCAGTGCCCATCCCAGAAGGGCTTCTTCCCTATTCTTTCAGACTTAATAGGAAAGTCTCTGGTTCACCTGGGAGAGGGGGGTCAATGTCCAATCAGTATTATGTAATCAACAAGGTACAGCGTAAAACCCTACAACACCAGCACAGATTAACCTGGCAGTTGGTACCCTCACCCGAGCAGGTATTTGTAATTTTTATTCCTCAGAAATCATTTGCCTTGTGTGACAGAATAACCCCTATAGGATAACCAACATGTGAAGAGTCAGTTAAAAAACAAAACAAACAAAAAAACCCAGAGACTAGAAGTAGATTTTTGTCTTTGTAATTACCTAATTGAAATCTCAGAAGTTTACATGTGCTAAACTTCGTAATTGTTAAAAGTAATAATGAGGTTACAAGCCAACTATTCTTCACTTCTGTTACTTCTAAGTAAAAAGTACTTTAAAGTTACCTGAACATATGGAACATGTCAAAGCCAGAAACTACTCATAGCTTTTTTTATTACGCAGACATTCTTCTAACACATGATTATGGATGACACAGATAACACTATACTTGAACAAAATTTTAACAAACCAATGAGAAACTTCTGGAAATGAGTACACTAGAAAGGCAAATAAACTCATCACTACCACAAAAGAATGAACTGGACAAAGATACTTGATTTTGACAACACTAGCCTAACACACAGAAGACTACTTTAAAATTTCAAATGAAGCTTTTCTTAAGATACCTAACAAGGCAAGAGAATATCATCTTCAAAGAACAACATACATTTAAACAAAAGTAAAGCTCTGAGGTTACTAAACAAAAAATGAATTCTGATACTTTAAACCAGATTATTCTTTGAATTGCCTTTAAATCAACACCCACTGTGACAGTCTGCAGTTTGTATCATATGAATCAGAAACTGTACTGTAATTAGTTCACATCACCCCGATCTTTCAATATCCTTTCACCACAAAGAATAATTGTCAGCTATAGAAGCACTGGTGAGAGAAGTTACCAGTTCAGAAAGTGGGTAAATCAGCATCAGACTGCTGTGTAAAAACAGGCAGACACAAACCTGACAGTATGGGTGGGGTTCACATTCCCACCTTAGCACGAGGTTGTGTGTCAATTTGCCACCTTAAGACTTCTTTTATGGTCTACAGAATAGAAACATGCAACTCCAAAAGGCAATGCTTCTGATTTTAGGATGAAATTAATCACTCTCTGGAGGCGGTTATCCTTCCTCCATTAAACATACAAAAGAAGCATAGGGTGACTAAGTTATTCAGAGACAGGAAATAGATGGCTAAAAACTGTTAAGACTAATTCCTCACACACACACTTTTTTTTTTTTAAAGCATGTGATGACATTTTCAGGGACTCTCCTATACATGGCATGAAATAATTTTGTCTTGTCAAAAGGGGGGGCGGGTAAAAATGGCATAACTTTTAGAATAAGCAAACTAAGTATTTTTGGTCTGCTAAGGACCAGGAACTTCCATTTGTATTAAATACAAACAAGGGAAAGCAGAGATGGACTGCAAGTAACTGTCTAGATGTATCATAAAGGTTACAGACTATTATTCAGGCTATTAGGAAAAAAAATACATCAGATCTCTATAGCTGAACAGTTTTCACCTCTCTCTGATCATTGTCAAGACGCAGGTGCTCTGTGTGCTGCTTCTGTCTGTCCTTCCGCCTCCACTGTGCAGGAGCATTTCTCTTTGTCCACCTACAGACAGTGGAGTATTGTTAAGCAAAAGTCAAGAGCTAGGTGAAGGGGAGTGGCAATGGGGGAAATAAGAATTTTCTGTCTTCTTGTATACTGAACATGTCAACATCAATTACATCAGACAAAGCGCAGCTGCAAATACACACAAAGAATCTCTGTACAAGAATCCAACACTGGGCAGTCAGAGAACTTCTGAAAATTAGATCACATACACTTGCTTTGTATTTTTCCACTCTTTTATGATATCCAGTTACAATTTACACCTTTTTCCTCTTCCTTCAAAGTTTTCTTAAGAAGATATCCTAAAATATTTGCTAGCTCTTAACTGAGATCCAACAAGGAGATCTGCTTTTATATCAACAGTAATTATGAGTAACTCAAAGTACATCAACTATAATTTCAAACATAATAGGGCTTTCTGAAGTCAATTTGCTTCTGGAAGTCCAGATTTAAAAAAGAAAATAAAAAAAAAAAGACATAACAAAAAAACCCACCACACACAACCCACCCACATCATCTGATTTTTTCTCACTTTAAAAAAGATACCAAGTTCGATTTCTATTTATCTCTGCTTTAGTGCTATGGTATAGCTCTTGCCAAGACCCAGCACCTGTTGTCCTAGCTTACTCACTTGTTGCTTGCTGGTCCAGTGGATAAAACATCAGACTGAAGCCTGGGAAAAAATCCAAGCTCATATTTCCCTTGTCCAATTTTCATGTCCAGCAAGTGTGGGTGGACTGCAGTGTGATCTATTTTTGCTAGCCTCAATTCAATAGACTTCTCTGAAATAGTAAGAAAGTTAATTTTTTTAAAGGTGTCTCAATCAGATGCGTATCTATAATCACACATCCTCAACTAAAAGCCGATCTCAAATTTAAGAGGAGGTGGAAGTTTCTTACTGATCCCAACAGGTATACTAGTACAACAGCTTATTAAATATCAAAGAACTGACACCAAAAGGAGAAAAATGTTTATCACCTTAAGATAAAATATTTTTCACACAAAGCATGTGGGAAAACAGTTAAGTTCAATAAAACATTAGATGAATTTCATCTCACATCTGAACTTCCTATGCAACTTTTAGTCCCCACTTACACTTTACACCTCTGATTTTTGGGTTTCTTGTTTTGTTTGGGTTTTTTGGGGGGGTTTTGGTGTGGGATTTTTTTAGGTTTCAGAGCATGAATATTTACTTAACTTTAACCTAATGTCTACAACAAACAGCACTGACTAGCTGTATTTTCTTAAACACCAAGAAAGTCGCTTATTACTCTTACCAGCCTCATCAATGGTTGTGCACTTCTGATACATAGATGTGCGCAGAGTTGGTGTCCTAACACTTAGCAGCCTAATTTTATCCACTCTAGAATCAAAAACTCTCATAACAGGGTCTTTATCATCTTCATCATGGCACATAATCTTATTGTCAATAAAAGATGCAAACATTTGGGTCTCCAGGAATCTTGAGAGGAAAGGCAAGTAAGGTTCAGGCTGGTCCGACAAGAAGGATGCCTAACAGACAGAAGAAATAAGAGTGTTTGGGAGTCTGCAGAGAGAGACACCCACCAAAAGCACCAATTTTTCTAATCAAGGATGCGTTAATGCTTTGGTGTCACTTAGTTTTATTACTCACACCAATTCTATTTCTAGAACAGGCAGTCTGTATGAAATCTTCAGTTTCATGACAATCACATATAGCACAATAATTATTAAACTGTTATTTTAGCATTTCATTAATTTTCTTAGAATTTCAACAGAATTCCAGCAAACCACAACAACAGTACCACAAGTGTGGATATTATGTACTTCTGACTGGGCTCAAAGCTTATGAAGTTGATGAGAATCTTTTTATATAATTTGATGGGAATCAGATTAGCATTTTAGCAGGCAGTGCTGCAACTTAGTCTTCACACACGTGAACTATCCTGCTGACAACTATCTGATCTCCAGTAAAGAACACAGTACTAAAATCTGAAGAACTGAGTCTTTGTTTTCCCAGAAAAGAGCTAGGGATACATTTGGTACACATGTACATAAGCGTTGTGTAGGATCATGGCTTTATCCATTAACATATTCAGCAACTCCTCTGGTTTAAAAAAACCCCAACATACTAGTAATATTTAACCTTAACGTAGACATTAGCCATAACTAAGCTACTTTTCTACAACAAGCCATATTTTTCTACAGTATCCTTAAAAGAGTATCTTCATCTCTCTAAATGTGCGTATGTATATATTTTTCCACATAATATACAAGATTATTTTCTGGGGAACACTGACATTTAAGGAAGAAATTACAATTATGACAGTACTGTTTTCCATTTCATGGCACAATAAACAAAGTCTTAGGTTTGCACACTGTTTCACTTTTCACATTGACATATCTTCTTATTACAACTTACTTTATCAAAGTTTTGCATCTGTTCCCTGTTTGTAAACCAAGATTCCTTGTCCTGACTGGGTTGAATGACAAATACTTCATAATCTGCAAACATTTGTGTAAAGCGGTTGGCAAAAACTTCACGGATTTTAATGTTCAACTGGTAAATCTTGAATTCTTCTTCATCACACTGAATTTTAATATCCTTGTTGCTACTGGTCTCCTCTCTTACCTCCAACTGAGAAAGTAAGGGAAGACACAAGAAAATTGTATTGTTGCTTTGTCAAGTATTCTAGGTGTACAAGATCTTAATCTGCCATTCAGCTGCTAGTCCTCAAGTCAACATTCCAATAAAAAAAAAATTATTTAGTTTCAGGCACTGTCAGAAAACAGCAACATCAAAGAAATCGGGAGAGAAACCTTTGCCTATAAAAGTTTCAATAATAAACCATAACCCACTTTAGTATCGGTTGTACTGGATATGCACTGGATTAAAAAAGAACAGATAACAACCATATACATACCCATGTATGCCATATTCTTAATTTATTTTCTTCTACCCTTTAATCACCTCCATAGGCTTTTTAGGGTTTTTACTACCCCTGCATATTAGGCAAATACTTATTTCTGTCTGGTGAAATACAAGTCCAGGTTTAGTACTGTTACATTTCAATACATACCAACTTTCAAATGAAGAAAGAAGCTGTGCATGTCTAGTAGCAAATTTCCTGTAACCGAAGTCCTTAGCAGCGTAATGCACAATTTATCACTACACAGCCCAAAGTAATTTTTAAGGAAATAAAATGCATTTTCAATTAACACATGGACCAAGATTTATGAGAACAGCAATATGAGATTCAAGTATTTTATTCATATTAGTTTTCATAGGAACTGAGTATCTAGGGAAAAAAAAATCAACACCACAAGCATTTTGATTACACATTTGCTACTCCTGCCTTTGTTAATTACTGTAAGTGGCACCGCCACACATAGTTAGACATAATATCTAGAGCTTACAACATCTGCCTACAATGATGCAGTTGCTGCAACTGTCCCATGCTTCTTAAAGCACTTTGGTTATAGCAGTCCAAGGCCAGCTATAAAGAGCATCCTACAGTCATGCTCTCTGCTAGAGAGAACTCTGCTATTCAGCCATTTCTTCTAACTGCATCCCGTAAGAAGCGCTTGTCATCTACATATTCTCTATTAATTGGGTATTTGGCATTAAGCAGGTTCTTTTTAAATTGTTTAAGTATTTGAGAAAATTTTGACTGTTATAACCTATACACTCCTATCATCACTAAAAAGGCTAGTAAAATGGGACTTTTACCACTATAAGAGAGACCACAGAAGTAGATATGGCCTAAATGTGCAAAAACTTACAAGAAATCAAAAAACACCTGTACTTCTCCCATCACTTCCCAATTCATTCTACAAAAGAACAAAAGCTTCTCACCAATTTCCTCCTGAAGGAGAAGAAAACAATGTAAATGAAAAACCTAAGAGGAACACAGCTGATTTGAGTATCTAATCCTGTCTAGTAATCAAATGCTGCTTCTTGTAACCCCCCTGCAGCTCCCTTCCCACAAAGCAGCTCTCCTCCCCAACCTATTGTAGGTCACACAATTTCTATCTGTTTGGCCGCACCTGTAGCCCAAGTTACAGTCACACAGGTAGGAATCAGACTCAGCAATGAAGAACTGGTCATGATAACTTAGACAAGAAATAAAACCCTTGCTGAGAAAATCTTCATTCCATTACACAAAGGCTCAAAAAATCCACAGTGGTCTTTCAGGTAATACATTTTCTACAAAAAGGGCAACAACTTTTTTCCCCCCAATTCTGACTGCCCAAGAAAAATCCAGCCAGGGTCATCATGAGCTGTGCACATTCACTTGCTGGGAATCAGACACTAACGCACTTTACAACATCAACCAGAAGAAAAGCATCGCAGTATCCCTACGGCAAGCATATTATATACAAGCAAAATTATACATATTCTATACACAATGAGAAAGATAGACAACTATAGAAACCAAGACTGGATTCCAACTTCAGGATAGTCTGGATGTCAGTTTTAGACATATAAGTCATAAGAAAGTGGTGTAGATTTAGAATAAATCTTAAAATCAAAAACAAACAAGGCAAGGTGTATTTTTAAACACATTATCTTGGCAAAGATACACTTGCAGGATAGCCAAAGGTTTCCCTAGATGTTATGGGGTTAAACCCCACTCCCCCTCTCCCTCAAGCTTGCCCTTGTCTCCACAGATGTTCATAAGATTTGTGAACATATTAACATGAAGTTCTTTCTAGTGAAGACAGACAAACAGAGTCTTTGAAACATGACTTCAGAGCACCTGCTACTGCAGGTCCAGAGAGAGTGCAGATAATTTCATAGCTTACCTTTTCTAGACTCACACCTGTTCTTTTAACAAGCGCTTGGAGTCTTGCAATAGTCTCATTTTCCTTTAGCAGCTCACAGGTATTCAAAGGTGATCCTGCTATGTTCCCATTTCTTTTATCAGAAACCAGGTCACATGTTCTGAGGCTCTTCATCTTGGAGGCACTTTCACTGCAGTGAAGGTTTCCCTCAGGTGGAATTCCAAAAGCCATTAGTATCTCCGAAATTTCCTGAACAAACTCCAGTTTGTTTGGGAACTGGGGTAAGTCTTCTGGCAGTTCGATGAAATGGTTGTCTACATCCACAAAGCACAGGTTAGCCTGGGATTTAATTTAGAACAGGATACCATTACAATATCACTAAGCACAAGGGTCACGTTTTATTAATCTTTGGGGTTTGTGCTTATCAAAAGATTCAAATAACCAAACAAATGCAAATGTATCTCGTAAAACAGACTTGTCCCAACCATAACTGAAATGGTTGGTTGGCTTTGAAGAAAGCAGCACAAGGCCTACATTTCCATGTCTTTCAAGGAGCTGACTAAAAAAGATTCATTTTAAAGTTGTTTACTTGGTACAAAAGAGATTGTAGCATATATTAGGTATAGATGTGTGAATTTTTTCCATACTCATGCAGCTAGTTTCTAACTACAGGATATTTGCAAAACTACTTTATACATTTGTACACATAAGCAAGTGACCGCCTGTTGCTCAAACTATCAGTCCATTCCTCTTAAAAGATTTGGCATATTTCATTCTAGAATGTGTACTGATATTGCAGAAGCTGCAAGAAAGTCTTCTCTTTGTTGTAAGCAACTTGAGAACTAAGGCAATTCCTTGAACAAGTTCAGAACGTTGTTTCCAGGGGGAAAATGTACTGAACTAGTTTCAATTATGTTTTCCTGTTCCAATCTCTCTATCTCTTTTACCAGCAAAAAGAGGAAGAGAGGACGGGAGGAAGACCATCTATGTGGCTTCCATTGCAACATCCAAAGAAGCTACGCATCTTTTAAGGATTTACCTCACCCTCTATCTGGTGATGGAAGATTTGGATTTACCTCACCCTCTGTCTGGTGATGGGGGATTTCCCCTTTTGGCTTCTGCATTGCGAAATCTGTATCAAATAGTTTCATGACATTACTTAACTATATACATCACACCAAGAACCCCATTCATGTGTGAAATCTGCTTGGAAAGTTAAGTGTACAGAAGAAACTTTGCTTTTCTGTAGAAGCATTTCAATTTTTCTTCACTGCAGAATTAATGTGGACTGTCTCTTTTCTGTTTAGCCTCCTCTATAGAAAATCCCTTCACACAGATTATGGGGTACTTTCAACCTAGCTTCATCACATTATTCTAGGAGGCATACCTGAACTCAGGTTTCACTATAGCTTTGCAGCAAAAATACATATCAAGTCATGAGAGCTAACAGATCTCCAGTTATTTGTTATGATTCAGTAAGTGCAGAAGGATGAAAGCACTCTCACAATTTAATAAGAAAGAATTGGAAGAGATTAACCTCACACTGAAGGAATGATGGATAATCCCAGAAATCAGAGCAATGTACACACAGTGAAGCATCAGTAAGGACAAAGTAGTTCTGGCACTAGTCATAGGTAGACTAGGATAAGCTGTACCTGACAACACCCCTTCATTTAAACAAACTGTTTTAAAAAACATACATTTAATATTTGTGACAGATTTAGCTCTCTTGGCATTGCTACAGAGCAGGGTTAGGATATCAATTCTCCTCAAAACACAAATATCTGTTGTGTTTGATTTCTTGAACTTCAACATTAAAATTAAAAAAAAACATTGTAATTCTTAAAGGAGAACTCCAACGGTCATATTACACTAGATTTGCAGAGAACTTTGCATGAAAAAGTCCAATTTATGCTCTTCTACAATATTACCCATAGGTAAAAAGGTAAGTAGAATAATTCCAGTTCTCCGTTTCCTGATATTTTGGCATTTTAATACTGGGATTGACTTCTTGTGCTCAAAGGAACGCATATAAAACAGTATAGTAGATGTCATACAGATCCTTTACTGTAAATTAATTTAATTAGATGTTGCAAAATAATCCAAGGTCAATAAACAGAACTAAGACCTCGATTCCAAAACAGCTTCTGGTGCACCCTAGACAAAGTTTTATTTTTTTAAATAGGGCAGGTGTCATTGTTTAGATGTCTCCAGTATCAACAATGCTCAAACACAGCAGGTGGTGTGAGTGCCTGCCTAGCAAGGCAGCTCCAGTTGTAGGCTAGGGATGCACACAGAGTGCACCTGCTTCTCGTTCAAAAAAAACATTGGGCACAAAGGGACAATATGTACACAAGAGCTCTCACATTTCAAATAAGCACCTGAATTTAGGAACTTTCAGAGTCCCACACCTGGTTCTGTGATGATTAGAAGTCAAGTAATCTAATATTTATCAAGAACACTATAAGCACTTCCAAGACGTGAGAGAAATAAAGCCTTGAAAATAAGCACAATGCCTACCAATCGGTGCTGACTGAAAAACAAAAAACATTTAATTTTCCACCAGCTGTCTGTGAAATGGCAACACAGACTCATTAAGAAACTCTTGAAACAGTTCATTGTATTACTTCCTTTTAAAACTCTCTTTAATTGATGCCATTCAACTTTCCTTCATTTTTGGATTATTTTACCATAGCACAGATTCTGCAGAAAGCATCACTCTTGTTTAAGCCTGGTTGTACCTAAAAAGTGCTTGGCCAAAAAGTAACCAAACATTAACCTTACCAACACAGAGATTCTAGTCTTCACACTGAAAATAAACTCCTTGCCAATGAAGAAAAAGACAAATATAATGCTTGCTAAAATTGCTTGTAAGTATCTGGGCTTATCTGGCTTCAACAGTTAAATATCCCTTCTGCAGAGTTTCTCTTTAAGAGCAACACACAGTTTAAACACTCCAAGCCACTACTGATGACTGCAACTTACTATCACATTTCCCAGAATATGCCCTATAGAAGCGTTAAAAAAAAGAAATACGTTAGTGTCCAACAATAACCTAAAGAGTGTAAAGAATATTTCTGGCGACACTCTACACCGGTTCAGTGCCTGGTTAATAATCCATAAGACAGAGGACTATCTAGAGCAACATAAGCAAAGGAGATTCAATAGATGGCTTCAGCCACCCTTAGGCAGACTGAGGTCCTCCCTTAAAAAAAAAAATGTCCCCTCCTTTAAAAAGCAAGAGAAATTAAATGGCACTTATTTTTTCACGAAATCATGGTTATCCAAAGCATTTTGCATGCTAGGAACTGGTCAAGTATACAAAGCAGAAAAATAAAGCAGCTCTTTGATCACAAAGTTTTAGTTATTTTGTTTCTGGAGGCAGCACAGCTGAGTGAGCTGTGAATAGCTGACAGCTCTGTATGTAAACCTCTATGGATACACCGATCATCATTTTACACATACAAAATAAAAATTATATAAAGATATTAGCAACGTGTAAGTATACATGTAACTGTAAGAGCATCCAAGTTAGTTGCTTGGTATTTCGGGTCCTAGGACAGTCAAATGTTCTTTTATTTGTTGCTGAGGTATCGGTTTTCTGACCAAACGAAAACTTCAAATAGTTACACACCACTTTAATAGCAGATTGTTACAGGAGAGGACACATAACATCACCACACAATAAAATGTTCTCCTGAGACACTACACTAAGAAACAAGAGTGTCACATCCTAATTTAAAAACTTGTCTTTCCCATAAACTTTTATCACCACAAAATAACAGGGTATCCAGGCAAAAGTCTTAGAAACCTCAGAAATGCAGATGCAAGTAGGTCAGTGTCCATGAATCTGATGCCAAAGCCTAGTCCCCTAAGGTCAAAAGCACAACTTCCCACCAGCTCAGTGAGGTGTGGGATACACCCATGAATTCCAAAGCCAGAGGACAACTGCAATTCTTTAGTGTGACCCCAAGCACAATAAGGGCTAAACCCTGCGACAGATCTAGCAAGGCTTGCAGCAATCCCATATCCTTCCTTTCAGCTCTGTTCAAAAAAATACAGAAGGTAATTATTTAGGTTCTTCCAAAAGGACATCTAAGGAGGAACCAACACTCACTACTAACGAGAAAGCTCCCCATGCCACTGACATCCTAAAGAGAAAATATGCTTTATTTTAAACATTAATACTTAATTACATGGTATGCAAATAGATGCCTACAGCAATTTAGAACAGTTAGTTCTGATAGCACAATCACTACTTGAATTCTCTGTGCAGCCCAGGTGTTCAAAGTATAGATCACATACAGGTTTTCACATCCCCTTCTACATAGTTAAGATTGGAACATGGTTCTGAGTTAAGGCTTCCTGCTTGAATACAGCATTGAAAAGCTAAAACCCATTCATCTACAGCATTTCTACAGCATGTATCACCTTTGTGCCTTAGGTCCCAATCTTGCAAATAACCACCCACTTAACTCACAGAAAACATGGATATGCAAATTTATACACACACAGCTGGTTTGCAGAAAGTGTGTTTACAGTGGTCCTAAGTTCTAAAGGACTCTCCTGTGCCATTCCTGTAAGCAGTAACCTTCTGCATTTATTCTCAGCACTACCGTTATTCCTGCCAACCCAGAATTTGTAACTGAAAGCAACTTTAAGCTGCAGCTTTCAGAAACATGAATTTAACTCCTCAAGTGGCTGTTTAACACTGAAGTACAGGAAAACATAAAACTGAAGTCTGTCAATAAATTTGCAGCATTATCAAGGATCTATCACATCAGCAGATACACTGAGAATGCAAACAAAGCAGCGATTATCTTTCAAAATAATTATCTTGGTCAGTCTGGTCTAAATGTGTTGGCATCAAGAGGAAAAAAAGCTTTTCAAGAGATCTTTCTTCTCTGCTGAAACAACCTACAAAAATAAATACCCACAGAATTTGTTAGATTTAGCACTGAATAACATCTTTTTAATGGTTGAAATAAAAACACTGAGAACATATATCTGTTTAACATTAACAGAAAACTGGACTTTAGCTTTTAAAATCTTTCAACTTTTCTAAAAGAAAAAGTTATTACCTAAGACCCTTGTGATCACTTCATTAAAAACAACCTTTTTTAAAGACACTACTTTTGTTTGATTTAACCAGTGCTGGAAGACTCTGCGTTGCTTATTTTCACTCAAAAATTATTTCAGTTTCCACCATTCTCCTTCAACAGAGTGGTAAGACACACATGCAAATCCAGTAGTATGAAACGGGTCAGATTAACTTGCTTGTTAAAAATATATTGCTATAGCACTGCAAAAGTTTCTTTAAAAAGGAAATTCAAAGGCAC